TCCAACTCTGCTGAAGCTGAAGGTCACGTCTGCCCCCAACACCAGACGTCGCTGCACCCACTCCAGAATCCATGTCCAAGTAAACTGCAAGTATTGAGCTTTTATTTACGAAACGGGTGCTTCAAAATTACAATTGGCCTTCAAACAAACGTTCCAAATTGAACGATTTATCTGCTGCTTTCGGTGAAAGGCTTTTCAAGTCTCCAGGTCACACTTCTGCTCCACGTTTGGTTTCTCACTGTCAGATTCTCACTCAGCATTTTCATCATTGTTTGTATTTTATGTTTATTTGTTGGTTTTGGTTAGTAATAAATGTTTTGTGCGTATACAGTTGTTTCTTGCATTTCCTATAGCTTACTTTCAATCACTTTTTGTATCCAATTTTTATAGTCACCTGTGCTCTAAGTTAATTCCCTGACATTATAAACCACTGTTGACTGATCACTAAGAGTAAACAGTTTATTAGAATTCTTGTGCTGACGTGGAGATTATTTCGCTGGATGTGTAATTTAAAGGTTGGTTTTGATAGTTTAATTAATGCAATAATTTCCTTATTGTGGAGATAAGTCTACTTTATTTCCCCCCCACAATGCATTGAAATTGTCTTTATTTAGACTAAGAAAAATATCCAGTTAATTTGCAGAACAGCCAAATAAGACCCCAAACAAAAGATCTCAGGTGTCAAGAAAGTCAAAGAAGAAACTACATTTTGTCTTCAAGGAACCAAAAATTGTTCATAAGTGTGTTAACTTGTCCAAAATGACTTGAAATTTGTCTGAAGGTACTCAAAATTGTGTCTGAGATGAATTACGATGACTTCAACTTGTCTCAAATGGCAAGAATTTGTCCAACATGACTCGGTATTGGTTCAAATTCAGTAATTGTCCATAATGGCATGAAGAGATTTCCTTGTCAAATAGCTGGACATTTGTGTAATATAACTCATTTAGTGTAAAATGAATCATAAACTTAACTGATCAAGCAACTTCGGTGGATAAAAAAGCATAAAAATCTCAATGCATTGGAAAAGTCTTTATTTAGACTAAAATATATATCCAGTTTATAGCCAACAAGACACCAAACAAAACTCAGGTGTCAAGAAGCACAAAGGAGGAGCTTGGCGATAACATTGATAACGGTAAAAAGGTAAATAATTAAACATTATGGACAATTAAAGCAAAGCATTACGGACGGAGGCCTGATATCGCTTCAGGATGTCCCTGCCGTCCTTGAAGACCATTCTGATCTGAGGAGGAAACAACAGGAAGCAGTGTGTCATCACTTCCTGTCTGTTCGTGTGTCTGCTGCTGTTTGAGGAAACCCACCTGATCCATCTGCTCCTTGATGTCCAGCATGTCCATGCCGTCCTCTCCTCTAACCGTCCCACCCGTCTTCTGGTGCATGTTCAGCGTGGCCATCCTAACTTGTACATTCCGCAGCATTTTCTTCGCCGCCGTTTCCTCGATGTGGTTCCACTTTCTGTACTGTGTGGAGACAACCGTTCAGAGGGAAGATGCCAGTCTGAGCTTTAACCCAGAATGTGATTTTGTCTCAGCCATGATTACCCAGATGGTGACTTTGGAGCGATTTCTGTCAAGCTCGGCCTGCAGCTGGGACAGCTCGTTGTTGACCTGCAGCTGCCATAGTTGGTGCTGCTCCTCCAGTTCCTGCAGAGTTTTCCTCTGCTGACTCTGCTTCTCCTGCTCCATCATTTCCTTTTGATAGAGCTTCTCTCTGAAGTGGAGGAGCTTCTCAAAGGTAGCTGCAAGCTCTACGGAGTCCTTAAACTGTAATACACAATCACAGACATTTTTGGCAAGTTTCATGTCCAGGACTGCAGTGTTAGCCCACACATACCGCAAAAACAGAACTATGTACAGTTTTGGGTTAAAAAAAACAAACGAAAAAACGCTACAGCTGTGACTTGTTTGTTAGAAAGAACTGTTTTTATGAAATCAACCACTAAAACTCTAAGTGCTTGGACAGAAAATAGTATTTTGGGTGGAATAAACCTTTAAAACCACAAGTCATTCATTAGATAAGTCAAATTTGGAGGGAATAAACCGATAAATGTGAAAACACTTGGACATTAAGTGGTATTTTAACGGAAAAATATAAGTGCTTGTACAGAAGGTAGTTGTTTGAACGGGCTAGATCAGGGGTTCTCAACTGGTCTCACCCTGGGACCCACATTTTCCCATGGTCATTAAGTCGCGACCCACTTTTTTTTTAGAATTCAACATTCAATATATTTTCCTGTGCAACATGCATTTCAGAGCATATAACCATGTATAGTAACTGGACCATGACAACTACATGTACAAAAGTGAATAATATAAATATCAAAACTACTCGAAAATAAAGTTTTGGCCAAATCAGGTCAGTTGTTGAAGTTAATGAGACAGCTGGGCATGTGCTCTACTCCTGATTAGAGTTTCAGAGTCTGGGGTGATGGTAGACAGAGCTGCTCTCAGATCATGTTCAGTGTCCAACCTGTTCCTCTGCTGTGACCTGAGCTGGACCAAGGCAGAGAAGACACTGTCACACCAACAGGTTGAGCTGAATGGTAAGATTGTTTTAACTGCAGGAGTGGCGAGAGATGGATACTCAGCCATCACATTGCTGCACCAGAAGTGGGAAAGGCTTACCTCCCCACATCTCTTTCTCAGCGTCTGATCACATGACAGCTCCAGCAGCTGATGCTCTCGTGCAGCCACATTTCGTTGTCAAACAGTTCTGCATCCAGGGAGCTAGTCTCAGAGAGGAATGTGGCCATTTCTGATTTAAGTTCGTAAAAGCGTGACAACATCTTGCCCCCTTGATAGCCAGCGGACTTCTGGGTGCGCGCAGGCTGGATGTGGCATATTTCCGCTTTGCCATATGGCAGGGGTGTCCAATCCTGGTCCTCGAGGGCCACAGTCCTGCATGTTTTAGATCAGGGGTGTCCAATCCTGGTCCTCGAGGGCCACAGTCCTGCATGTTTTAGATGTTTCCCTCTTCCAATGCAGCTGATTCAGATGATCAGGATTGTTATCAGGCTTCTGCAGAGCTTGAAGATGAGCTGATCATTTGAATCAGGTGTGTTGGAAGAGAGAAACATCTAAAGCATGCAGGACTGTGGCCCTCGAGGACCAGGATTGGACACCCCTGCCATGTTGCATTCCAACATCAACACAAACTTAAAATGAACGTCAAACAAACTATGGTTACCGTGCCTGTCAAAATAGAAGTTTTTTCAAAATAAAAAATAAGTCCAACCTGAGACGCACATTATATATTATTTAATTGTGACCACCCAGAACAGGTCCGCGACCCACTTTTGGGTCACGAGCCACCAGTTGAGAACCCCTGGGCTAGACCATTAAAAGTCTAAGTCACTCATTAGAAATGTACTATTTGGGTGGAATAAACCTTTAAGTGTAAAAGTATATGGACATTAAGTAGTATTTTGAATAAAACTATACTAATACACCATTAAAATTACAAGTACTTGTACAGAAGGTAGTTGTTTGAATGGAATAAATCATTAAAACCACAAGTCATTCATTAAAAATGTACTATTTGAGTGAAATAAACCTTTAAATAAGACAGGACTTGGACAGATAAATAAAATAAAGTCAGACGGTGTCCTAATGAATGTTACTTGCCAGAGGCCTGGTTGTGTGTACGTTCTGTCTCTCCTTCCCCCTCCTTTCTGTCTCATTACCAGGTGCTAATGACCTGAGTGGATCCACCTGGAAAGCTGACGTCCACCTGTCGAGCTGGCCAATCAGATGTGGTGTGTTGCAGCATAAAAACCAGGCCCAGTGTCAGATCAGGGGAGCTGCTGTTGTGACTGTGTGGTGCTTTGTCTGAGAGACTTGTTTTGCTTACTAGAAATGTGGATGTATGTTTCTGTGGTGGTGAGGTTGGGATGTTGGGTACCCGAACACTTTTCAGCATGTGGACATTTTTGTTCTACACATTAGGATTACTGGTGGGTGCCACCTATGTATTTATTGCAAAGCTTGGTTTGTAGAAAAGTTAGTTGGGTCTTTTGTTTGGGTTTGCTTTAAGAAGAGTTCGTCAGGCCTTGGTTTGTTTTCTTATTTTCACCTTGTCCCATTCCTCCACCTCTTTTTGTGAACTTTTTTTTTTTGTTGGAGCACTGTTGAAATAAAACTCAAATATTTGTTTGCACCTCACAATGACTCCCGCGTTTCTTTTGGTTGGCGTGTTGCTTTCCTCTTAAAAGGGGACGTAACAATGAAACTTTTGGACACGTTGCAACTGCAAATTAACAACTTCCAGGAGTCAAAATGAGCTCTGGACTCACATTTTTTAAATTTACAGTAGTTGTTTCAGTAAGATTTTCAAAGAAAAGACGGTTTAGTGAATGGATGAGTGTTGTTTTATGATAAACAAATGTAAATTCAGGTGCACTTCTTGTCACATAAATTAAGAAAAACTCATAGAACCTTGGTATATTTGACCGGCTGCTCCATAAAGTCCTGGTACACCGAGTATCTGTCCACCAGATGCTGCATCTCCTGCTTCTTCTCAGTCAGCTGAGCAGGTTCCTCCTTCAGCTTCTCAAGCGGAGCCTTTTCCTGAAGCATCTCTGTCGTCACCTTCTCTGCTTTCTCCACATGTTGTTTAGCTTCTTTGCACTGGAAGGAAACAGTCGTATGTTGCTCCACTCCCAACACTTAAATCATGTGCCACGTGTTTTTTTTTGGGTTTTTTTTGTACCTTCAGTCGTATCTCTTCAGAGAAGTGTGAGTTGTGCACGTTCTCAATTTCCTCATGCAGCTCCTGCAAACTCTCCAGTTGCTACGCAAAAACCACAAACAAAAAACAGGAAAAAGCTTAATTAGCGAGGGCTCTTTTCGATGTGATGTGAGCATTCGGCAGCGATTGAATGCAACTGAGTGCATTTATCTGGATTTTGCTAATAAAATCAAAATGTTCCAGACCACTGCTGCTGCAGATAAAAAATCTACCTGATGGGGTTCAAGCAGATTGTTGGAAACACTGTGATCATCTACGTACACATGTTGCCAACATATATCGTAATTTTTACGCTTAAATGTTAGGTAATACAGCTGTAATTGAAGGCGATACGAATGCCACACGGTGCTAAGCATGAATACTTGTTCCACTGTTGTTCAGGCAGAAGGTTGAGCTCGTTTCAGACCTGGATTTGTAACTTTGCTGCTCATCAGTCTGTTAAAGTGACACTCGTGTGGATCCTGCTGCTCGCTGATGCTGCAGGTACTTAATGCACTTTCTGCACCGATACTCTTTCAACCGAGAGGCTCAATACACAACTTGTGGCCACAGTCACACCTTTCAACTTTCTCAGTCTGGAGAAATCAGAAATAAACTGAAGTATCAGTTATCTGGGCACTTTGATCAGCTGCTATTAGTTTAGATTTAGTCTGTTGTTACATTATTATACGTTATACATCACTTCTTGTGGGAATGACAAATAAAGAGTTAATTTGCAAAAAACAGATGACGACATTTTTGTAGATTTTCAGAAAACTTATGTTTTTGTTTGCTAGAGATAACGACATGACAAAAATAGGGATAACTTAAGCTTGATATTGTCTCAGGAGGTAGGCGATGGAAAAGTGGGTTTTCTGAAGGTTTGTGAAGATGGATCTGTTTTTGCAAATGAACTCTTTAAATGTCTCTTGGTCTCTCCGTCGTTGTGCCAGAAACTGATGGCGATTCATGTGGACGCTGTTTTGTGCAGTTTTGTATAAATATACCTGAATCAAGCAGTCTCAAATATACGTCATTTTATTTCTGTGGTCATGGCAAAAGTGTGAAACTTTAGCGTTTTAACAGTTCATAGTGTAGTCAGGTTTTAGATTTGAGATGTATTAGAGGCAGTACTACTTCCAATGTTGAGGATACGGTGTGTAGTGTGATTTTTAGTGTGTAATTAACACGATTTCTGGATGCCTTTTATTAATAAATATGCAATTATCCTATAAACTATGATCTCTAAAAATGCAACCTCAGGAAGAAAGCAGTCGTTTCAGGCACAATGTTGGCTCTGCATTCACAATTTGGCAAAACTGCTGCACATATGAGTTAAGTAGTTTCTTTAAAGATACTTCAGTAGGGTAAAAACAACTGGATTGGTTCCAGGAAACAAACTGATACCTGCTCTAACAGACGGATCACTTTATGGCATAACAGCTGAGTGAAGCCGTTGAGTAATGTGTGTCTGACGGACAGAATGCAGTAACTTTAACAGATTGATGCTTCGTATCCTAAAATCATTCACTACCTCCTTCTTCTTTTTGACCTCTTCCAACTGTTTTTGTCTCTGAATCAGCCTAAAGCACACCCTGTTCCTCCTGTCCTGAAATTCATCCTCCGACATCCTGTTGAAACACACCCAGAGCAGCAAGTTATTAACCGTCGGCGTTAGTTTTCTTGACTTGACTCACTCCGAAAGCGTCTCCTCACCTGGTAAACCTCCTGCTCTCCGTTGTCTTCCAAGATTTTCAACGGAAAAGCAAACTTCCCGTTTCACTGATGTTTCTCTTCGGTTAATGTCACTTTTCAAGACTTTTCTAACGACCTCCAGCTGATTCTCCTCATCTGTTTCTATGGCAACGCACCGCTAACTGTACAAAGTGGCTCAAAGAAAAACACATCCTCACCAACAACTGTCAAAATGTATTTTCATTTAATCTGTAAACGGAACAACTGAAAGATGTTGTGGAAAATATGTGTGATTTTCAATGCATTTTATTTTTTAAAATCGAACTTCAGTTTGATGTGGAACTGATTAAAAACATGATGAAGATTTATTACATGAATAAAAACGTGATTCTCACAAAAAAAAGAAGTCAATTAACCCATTATGGGCTGATGGAAAACTAAGTTTCAACTGTTTTGAACAAAAGATATGATTTAAAAACGTATCAGCTTTGAAAAATCTTTTGTTTTATGATGTGTCTTTTTGTTTGTTTTCTTACACAATAACCTTCAGCTAACTAGCAAACAGTGTTTTTCAGAGCAGGTTGTCCTATAGAGCTGTGGTTCCCAAAATGAGGGTCGAGACTGACAAGAACAAAAAAGCGAACCCAAATGCACGACTCCAAAAAACTCAAAAATGTTCTCAAACTGATTTATTTACAAAAGTATCAACAGAAATATTCAACAATAAAAAACCAAAACTCAAAACGTCACTCTAACGAGGAGAATAAAGAACCAAAAAAATCACTCAATGAGGAAAAACTTAATCTTTCTAAACAAAGTAACAACTCAAACACTTGACTAGGAAAGAGGCTGAATACAAAGTAGCAAACAAAA